TACTACTACTACTACTATTATTATTATTATTATTATTATTATTATTATTATTATTATTGTGAAGCAAGCTTGAAGCGGAAATATTAATTGGGAAAGGACCCTTCGACAATCACTTATGCCCTGGCCACCTCATGAATGGACTGTTGCAATGCGCTTTCCATGGGGCTGCCCTTGAAACCACTCAGAAGCTACAGCTGACCCAGAATGCAGTGGCATAGGCAGTCATGGGCCAGCCACGCTATGACCACGTGACACCATTGGTCCACTAGCTGCGTTGATTGGCAGTTGGCTTCCAGGTGCAGTCAAGGTGCTGGTTGCTCCCTATAAAGCCCCCCATGGCATAGAGTTGGTTATCTGAGGGTCCACCTATCTCAGACTGTTTCTGCCCATCCACTAAGAGTGAACAGAGACCCCTCTATTAAGGCCTCGGAGGTGTGACTTCTCCATCGTGGTGCCTGCCCTCTGGAATAGTATCTCCCCAGAGGTTGGCATGGCTCCCCCAAAGATGTTCAGAAGGCATTGGAAACTTGACTGTTTTCCCTTGCAACAAGGTGGCAGGTGAGCCCCAGTAAGATTTTCTTTGATATGACTTGGCTCTGTTGTGTGTGGTGTGTTCATTTGTTTCTCGTTTCTTATTCTGTTTTTCTATTATATATGATGCCCACCGTCATTGAGAGTTGGGTGTTTGTTTTTTTAAATCAGAGTAAAGAAATAAATAAGCTCTGGGCAGGATTGTCGTTGAAGTTGCACTAGCTAGAATTCTCCTTTCTTCCTTTCTCTGTCCCATTTCAAACTGGGCAAGCTGTCATTATTCTCAGTGGAAATCCCATGTATTTAAGTCAAATAATTAAAGTGTTTTCTTGACAAGCCTACAGCCACAAATAATCGCTTGTCAGGCCATGGTGGCTTTGCGGAGATCCTCCGAGAATATTTCAGTTCATACGATGATGTGGAAAAGGGCAGGGGCCTTTATTTAAATGTCACTAATTAAACAAATAGCAGAAGACGTGCCTCATAAATACCTGCAAGAAGTTTGCATGCACACATGTGTCTAGCCAGGGTATCTGGGTAGATTTGAGTGACATAGAAAATGCCAAACTATTGGCCTGTAGACCTTTGGCACCTGAACTGGCATGTTTGCGGAATGAAAATATATATAAACACAGAGACTGGATCATCTTGAGGAGGGTTAAGAAAAGTGTTGCCTAGATCTGGCTTAATTATCTAAGGATATTTATTTATCTGTTTATAAGCTGCCCACCAATAAGCCGGTTCTCCAAATACCATTTTAAAATAAGTACAATAGAAACTTAAAAATAAAGACATTATTATCACAGAAGAAAATCATGGAAGCTGTAGGGAAGCCTGCTAAAATTCCAACAGTGGGGTTGGATTTGCAAAACATGCTATGATGAGCTTGGCAACGTTACAGCTCAGGATAGTCTGCAAATTCAGACAGTGGGACATGCTGATGGTTCAGCCCATGGGCACCCAGAGGGTATGTGTGTGTGCTTTTGTGTTTGTCTGTGTGTGTGCGCAATGTCATTCATATCATGGTGTCATTGGAGAAATGTTGTGGATTCAAAATTACATAATTCACATCCCTTGCACAGTGACATCATGATGAGAGTGGCAATGTTATGGATTCTACCGGTCACCAAGGTTCAATATCTTGTATGTGTAAATCCAGGTTGTACAACTTTCACATCCATGACAAAGCCTGGGCCAAACTGTTGCTTTCATCCAGCATTGGAAAGGCAACCTATTGTCTGTAGGGGAAGTGACAAGACATTCCACATCCAAGTTGCCACAACCCAGAAGATCCTCCATTTGTGCATGTCAACATTTTGGAATGCTTCAAGTGAAATACGAAGTGTTTCAGTGATGTCGAGATGCCATCAGTGTGGAGTATCGTGTGCAGTGATTACATGAGAAGTTCCCCATGTTTACTAGTTTTTGCTATTTCTGCCGTTCCCACAGTTCCCTGGTTTTGGCCAACTGCTTATGTTTATTTATTTAGCAACTAAGATTTGCTGAGTGCAGCACACGTATTTTAAGAAGACCGTTTCTGCTCGTGCACTTACAGCCTAGAAGAGGTGAGGCAAAAGAAAAGGAAAAAGGCTTGGAAGCCAAACAAGCCAACTCAGCACCAGCTCTCAGAGTCAAGAGATTCTGATCATGATCAGCTAATCTCAACAAGTCAGGGAGGTAAAAGGTGATGTTGAGGGAAGGCAACATATTTGCACTCATCTTCAACAGAGGTATGTCGAATGATTATAAGGATGACTGAGATGCTCTTCAAGCTCATTGGAGCTTATAATTGGCCACACAAAGACCCTGAAAGAGAAATACAGCTCCAAAATAAGGAAAAAAGCGGAAAACTTCTGTGATCTTACCAAAAGCTCATGAGATCGAGGTCATTCCATACAAGGACTTGGCAGTCCTAATCATGGAGCTCAAGGCCTTCAGAGCTTTGCTGTTTTGAGTGTTTGGGAATTACTGAGTGAGATGAAGGTTGCAAAGAGCTTGGCACATCCCTAACATATGTCTCCCCTGCTCTATTGTGGGACTTAAAAAAAAAAAACTATATAAATTCATAATTACATCCTTTCATGATAACAGACAGGCATCCTGGTGCTAATTGAAATGGAATTTGGATGGGGCATTCAGAACATGCTCAAGGAGAAGTGTGACATTTGCAGAAGTACAGGAAAAAAAGTCCAGATCTCATGTGGCAATCACCCAGACCTGAAATTGTAAATCTAATAATGTAGTAAAGAGTGAGTTTCTCCCTCCCCAGTTCACTGTTGTGGAATCCAACCGGTGCAGTTTCAGGGCATCCACAGGATGAAGGGCCAAATGACATCACGGACATCATGAAATCATCATGGAATGACTGAATTATGTAATTTGTATCATTTACAGGTTGACATCATCATGGCCTGCCAGGAGATTAGCTTCCCTGGGAGCTTGAAATGCAAATGGGGTCTCTTGTTTTCTCACCCAAAAGAGGAGAACAACCTAGAGTAAAAGTCTGTTTCTTTCTCTCTTTCTGTCCACCCTTTGATCGTAACATCATATTGTAGAAACGCTGCTCCACCTAGCTGTCCTTCAGGGATGTCAGGGTCATCAAAGCGGTGAAGATGGTGCCCAGGAGCACATGACTGAAACCTCTCCCTTTTTCACGTGTGCTGTGTGTGTGATGCACATAAAAGCACGGGGTGTCAATTGTGCGGTTGTGGCCACCATCTTGACTTTTTTGACCCCCATAAACCTCTGCAGTCCTTGAAGACAGCTCAAGGAAGGTAAGGTTTTCCTTCCTGAAGCAGAACCCCAGGATCCTGGGCAGGTTGGATTCCATGAGGAATAAGCTCAAAAGAGCTCTTTGCTAGGTGCTTCCCCCTTCGTTCTGTAAATGAGTGTTTCTCAAGCTCAGCAACTGTAAGATGTGTGGCCTCCAACTCCCCGGTTTCTCCAGCCATCATATGTAGACTTCAGCTCCCAGAATTCCCCAGCCAGCATGTGTAGACTTCAACTCCCAGAGACTGCTAGGGGTTGAAAGCCACACATCTGAAAGTTGCAAAGGTTGAGAAATACTGCAGTAGACAGCAACAAAAAGGCTGGAGCTTATTTCTTGAAAAAGAAAGAAGGGGAGGCTAAACATTATGGAAGAGAATAACTTTGCATCAGGCCCCAATTTCTCCCTTTCTGCCTAAATGAATTTGCTAGGCTTTTCCTTCAAACCCAAGAGGCTTTCTGGGAGATGCTCCATGCTGAAGACACAACCTACTGCATCTGAAAGTCACATGCGCCCCACCGATGGTGCAGACTTGCTTTCCAACCACGACACGAGTCCTTCTTTCCGCCCAACTGATCCACGTGTTTGCTTGCCCCCAGGCATCCACTGCGACAGCATGTGCACGCAAGGCCGTTGGGGGCCGAACTGCTCCATCGCCTGTAACTGTGAAAATGGAGGATCCTGCTCTCCAGAAGATGGAATCTGTGAGTGCGCTCCGGGCTATCGAGGACCCATGTGCCAGAGAAGTAAGACTCTCATGCTTTGCCCTGTAAATCCAATACGGCAATTCCTCCTTTTGGGCCGGGATGCAACACTTGCATCTCTCCCAAAGTTGCTCGCAAATTGTGCATTTGCATATGAAGGAAGGAAAGGCAGAGCGCAGTAATCATCTTAGCAGTTTTTATTGAATTTTATTTTAATTTGCAGCCAGTGCAGAGGTGTCCACAGGGTATGGTCCCAAAACAGGTGCAGCTTCAACTGCAACCGTCATGGCCGGCATCTTGACTTTCTTTGATGACCATACTCTACAGCAGTGCTTCTTGAACCTTTTGCTCTCAGGACCCTTTTCCACTTTTAAAAATGAGGGAGGACCCCAAAAGAGCTTTGGTTTTGTGTGGGTTATAGTTACTGATATTTACCGTATTAAAAATTTAAGCTGAGGCACTCACTGCTGCTACCACTTCTGACAATTGTTTGATGGGATTTTAATATTGCATAGGCTGGCAAATAATGCTGATTTTGCAGACCCTGAGAGGGTCTTGGGGAGCCCCCAGGGGTCCTAGGAGCACACTTCAAGAAACGCTGCTCTACAGAACCTCCTGATTCAGTAAATTCAATCCAGCCCATTTTAGTTTGGGCTCTGACCCTGCTTGTTCTTCATGGTGGCCCCACTGTTTCTTGGAATGCAGCCTCTTGACAATATGCCTCTGGGTCAGGGGTCCCCAAACTCTTCAGGTCATCGACCCTTTCATGAAGTTTCAGATTGTTCATTGACCCCCAAACATTTATTATATGAAAATAATTCAATAAATGCTACTTTAATTGTAGTGCAAATAATAATAATAACCACCACAATAATGGATAGTGCCATCAACCCTTGGGGGTCAGTACTGACCACTTTGAAGAACCCTGCTTTAGGCCCAAAACCGGTGGCCCACATCTGATCTAGTCTGGTAGCCCAATTTTAAAATTATCTTCCCCTCCTGCGACTCTCCATTTTTCATCCTTATTTGTTGCATAGAAGGCAGCCCTGGAGGGAAACAAAAGAGGGGGACATGTGGCTAAGATCCCCAGTGCAAAAGCAGTCAACCCACCAGGTGTTTCAAGGCAGCAAGACAGGAGAAGGATGATTCAAGGTCTGAGCAGGCTGAAAAGACAAGCCTCTTCTCAGGCTTGCCTCTTTTGCCAGATGCTTTGCTAGTTTTCTGGTTCAGGAGACCAGGGGTGGTTCTGCCTCTTCTCCCGCTTGCAATAAGGAGGCTTAGCCTTACAAACTCTGGATGTTTGTTCTCTACGTTCTTATGTAAGGATTCTCTTCCCCCAACTTGTCTGGGCCTTGTGCCTCGGATATGGCCATTTCTGAAACGGCTGTCCCACCTTCCAACCCCACAATGAGCCTTCTCAGTGATGGCCCCCCTCCTTTGGAAAAGCTTAACCCTAGGTATCCAGACACCCACACAGACACAGACACATTCTTCAGAGAGCTGTCAAACCACGGCTTTTCAGAAAGGCCTTTGGGGATGGGGAAGACCCTGCGAATGGCGGCTCATCGGATGGGGGGTTACCAGTCTATTAATTGACTTTACCTTTTCATCTTCTAATATTTTGAGCATGAAACTGAGCAAACTCAGGGAGGCAGTGAAGGACAGGAAGGCCTGGCACGATGTGGTTCATGGGGTCACGGAGAGTCGGACATGACTTAACGACTGAACAACAACAACTTCTAATATTTATGTACAGTACGCTGCTCAGAGTCTGCAGAAACGGAGGGGGATATAAGTGGTAGAGGGAAAAATAAAAGGAATAATTGGCTTAATCATCATTTCTCACCTGCCCCCCACCTTTCTGCATGGCAGGAGGACATCTGTAGCAAAAAGCTTGCAATACTTAGGAATAATATGGGGGACTGAGTTCCCTGCATGGGGGAATCACCCAAAGTGGCCTTGAAGACCTACTTGGGGTTTAATAATCATGTCCCTGAGGCCTCTGTCCCACGCCAGGATCTTCATCATTTCAGATAACTCTTGCGGCTGAGCAGGAGACATCTTCTGCTCCTCAAGCTGTTCTTGCCACCGGCAGCTGCTCTGCTTTTCAAAATAATTGGCTGCTGTTCTTTTTCTATTTAAAGCTGCTACGGTCTTGACCTCGGCCACCGGCACCGTTAATGACCCTGGAGGGCTTCCATTACAGGTCCCTGTTTTCTGCTGCTGGCAGTGTTTCTATGCTGTTGCAACAAGACCCTGCCCAAAAGGAGCAGGGAAACAAGGGAAAAATCATTTTTACCATGGTGAAGTCCCAAGGGTTTCAAAGGTGACTCCGGGGAATCTAGACAGAGGAAAGCGAGTAGAGCTCAGTTCTATCAGGCAACGGTGTTCCAGCAGAAGGATGACTTCCTATTATCCATGTTACCACACTAGGATGCTGTGGCACTGCAGCAGGAGGAGCACGAGGAGGAGAAACCATTGTCTGGTGCTCCTTTCTTCTCCATTGTTCTAAGAATTGCCTATATTCCAAAGGGGATCTTGGTATCAGGTGGGTTCCTGACTTCAACAGTTATAGTTCTACGTCTTACTCCTTGCTAGTTGACACACTGTTTTGGTCTTGGTGCAACATGGTCTCAGATGCAGCAAGCCAGAAAAAGATCAGAAGTTGTGCCTTGACAAACTAGGACTGTTCTGGATGCTGGCTTGCTAGCTGTCCATCTCAGTCAGAAACTGGGGAACTTTAGGGTAGACAAAAATGCAGCAAAGACGCTTTTCCCCTCTTGGAGACTTAAAGGGGGAGAAGGGCGTTACATTTTACCATCCAGCAGGTGCTGGAGGCATAGCAACCTTCCCCACCTTGGCAGTCTCACCAGGTGTGACTTGTGAAAAGTCTGTAAGTTGGGATCTCTTTCTTCTTTAGAACGTAGCTCTTTAAGTATGGCCCCTGGGCTTTCAAGAAACACAATTGCTGTCATAACCCGAGGACTACCTGTACTGGTAAAATATAATAATCAGAAGTTATGATGAAGCACAACCAAAAATATAACAGTGCTAATAAATCAGAAGAGAATATATCAAATAGTGATTAAATGAGTGACATTTGAAGAGACTAAAATCTATCTATAAAGTGTTAATATAGAACTATAAGAATCCTTTAAAGTATTATTAAATCTAGCCATATAGACCATCTATTGTGCCACCTTCTCCATTTTTATACAATATGTTATTTCAGTACAGTGATATTTATATAAAATGCTTAGTTTCTTAATATTCTATTATTTAGGTACCATAGAGAATTGAATATAAATAAGAGAAAGAAAAAGTGGATATTCTATCAATATTAATTACAGTTTCGAATATTCACGTTACAAGCATTATGATTATTTAACTTTTTCTTCTCCATCTCCCCTTTTAATCTTCAGTTCAGTAGTAACACAAAGGAACTGCACAATAATGATACTGGAACTATCTTGTCAGAGGAATTTTAAACACATGTTCAATCTCAATTGGCTGGATATGAAGATTGATTACATGCTCACAAGACCATAATGCAAGCCAGTCATGATATTTTGGATAAACAAATTGCTTATCTAGAATCACAACTGCGTAGGAAAAATTTACGTGTGATTGGTATTGAGAACCCCCCCAAGCCAACCAAATCTGGCTGAATTTATGGAGGATTTTTTTCAGAAAGCTCCTCTCTTTAGGAACAGACTTTCCAGACAAAGATTATTTCTCTATGTTCCTTATATACAGGTCATCCTTGTTTAGCGACCACAATTGGAAATGGCAACTCGGTTGTTCAGTGAAGCAGTCGCTAAGTGAAACCGCAATTGTGCTTACGATCTGACTTCAACTTTCCTTTGCTTTACAGACCTGTGAAGGTTGTAAATGCGAGGATTGGTCGTAAAGTTACTTTTTCATCACCGTTGTAACTGCGAACAGTTGCTGAAAGAGCCAGTTGCTAAACAAGGACTACCTGTATAACCTTTATTTTATCCCATCAATTGTCAAACTCCACCAAAAATGCACTGTAATTAGTGGAGTTTAATATCTTGTTTTTAAGCTTAGTATGCAATTTGGTTTATTCTTTTTTTTTTTTTTTGCTTTTGTGATCTCTCTTAGTCTGTCCCCCTGGTTTCTATGGGCTTCACTGCAGCCAGCCCTGTCCCCAGTGTCTTCACAGCACAATGCCTTGCCATCATATCACGGGGCAATGTGATTGCCTACCAGGGTTTTTCGGCCCACTCTGCAACCAAGGTAAGAGGGTACTTGCTGCTTCCGTAGGCTTACGAGTCACTGATTGGGGCCCACACAATGCTCCAAGGCCAACTGGAAGCAGGATTTTAAAAAACTTCTAATAACATCTTTGAGTTTCTAGATGACAAAGGAGGCAGATTGTTTGAGTTGCTCGGCAAAAGTGACTTCTCTGTACATCAGCCGCACGTTTTCAGGCATAAATAAGAAGGTTCCTTAACGTAGATGTTCAAGTGCAAACGAAATGTGACTGATAAAGTAAATTCACCAGGCTACTGAAGACTGACCAGTCAGTCGAAGCACGTCTGAAAAGTCCAATGGCCCCTGTGAGTTCCAAGAGGCTCATTGGTAAGTAGCAATTGCTACTCAGAAATCTTTTTAAAAAAAATCTGAAATGGGCTTATTAGGATCTAGCAGTAAAAGAACAATAAGCCATATGAAGGAGCCCTGCAAGTGCATACAGAAAGTTTTGGGTGTCATCACCAGCAGCATCTTTAATAGGCCAATCCCAACTTTGCCGTGGGGCTGGAATAGGCCAGGAACAGGCGAATGCCCCCACATGGAGGATTTCATGTGTACTTGGACTGTTGTAGATGTTTGTAGGGGGGCAAAGTTGGGTGTAGTGGTGAAGGCACCAGGCTAGAAACTGGGAGACCGTGAGTTCTAGTCTGGCCTTAGGCACGAAGCCAAGGGTGACCTTGGGCCGGTCCCTCTCTCTCAGCCCTCGGAAGCAGGCAAGGGCAAACACTTCTGAGATCTTGCCAAGACCGTCCCATTGATCTAAGGAGGGATCACCAATCTACCAACACTAAACTTCTTATAAGTAACACAGGTCTTTCCATATCTGAATATTACAAGCAGACATTTCTTTGATGTAGTTTCTTTGGTTAATGAATGATTTTAATCTTGCCATAGGACAAAATAAAAAGGTATATGGATTAGACTGTCCCATTGATCTAAGGACAGGTCATGCTTCTAGTTTTCAGATGTCACCGTTTTTGCTACTGTCAGCATGCAAATCACCAGCTCTTTAGATTTTATTTTCTTACTATCCTCAATGAGTATTCTTAAAAATGCTAATTGGGCATCAACTGTAATTTCTTCATTGATAATTTTACCCGCTTCTACAAATACCATGCCTCAGTAATTTCTAATGCTTGGACACATTCACCATAGCTGAAAATACAGTGGTACCTCTAGTTACGAACGCCCCTCCTTACTAATTTTTCAAGATACA